GGTTTTCTGATCTTACTCAGTGTTCTTTAAACAATCCCTTGTGAGACTGTAGGCCAGGCAGAGATGGACGTTTCTACAGGTTTGCTCTACTGGTCCCTTGCTCTGGGTGTCTTTGGAGGCAGTGGCTTGCACAGGGAAGCTGTGAAGATGCCACCTGAGGATCTGGCCACAGTCATCTGTTGCTATTTGCATGGGTCTAAAAGGCTCTGCTATGTCTTATCATGTTGAGAGGAGACAGAGATTCCTCTGAAGCAAGAAATCAATCTCACTCTGTTTCCGACAGTGAGTGCCACACTCAGTGGAGTGAGGGCAAGATTGTAGAGTCAGCTTTACAGCTCCTTCCTGGGAAATAACAGTGTGGTTTTATCATGTTGTTGGACACAGGATTCAAGTACCAAGTTCATACTATATCTTCATTTAAATATAAAGACCTTTCTAAAGCCACATTGGAATTAGAGATTCTGAACAAAGCAGTTTGGATTTCAGCCCCTATCCAAACCCGCTGAGCCCAGATCAGCATTTTAGCAAGTTCCCATATAACTCGCACACACCACTCCCCCTGGGGTTGGGGGTGGTATTTGTTAATAGACACACTGGATGGCGCCCCCTTCTGGCTACTGGCTGTCCCATTTTTGCACATTTTGAGTAGAAGGCCAAGTAGAAGGTCCGCTGGGAAATTATTATAACTGAGGATTAAAGGGCAAAGATCCAGCAAGTAAGATCCAGCACAGCTAAGGTTCCCAAAACTGAACATACATGAAAAGTTGCAAATACAACGTTTTTTATCCCATTATGCTAGATTCTTAGGCCTGCCATAAAAATTACCACCAAGGCAAATGCTTAAAATAATAAAAATTTATAGTTTCATAGTTCTGGAAACTATCAGCCTGAAAGGTGCCAGCAGGTATCTTAGCTTTGCTTTTTGTTTTCCCATCGCTGTGACTTAAAAAAGAAACAAACAAAACCCTGACCAAGGCCACTTAAGGGAGCAAAGGTTTGTTCTGGCTCACATTTCATGGGTATAGTCCATCATGACACAGAAGCAAATGGATTGAAGGTTGGAGCAGCTGTTCACATTGCATGTACAGTCAGGCTCCCAGCTCAGGGACTGGTGCCTTCCTTGGTGGGCGACCTCCTAAGCTCAATTTAATTTAAAACAATCCCCCACAGGCATGCTCGAGGTTCTTCTCCTAGTGATTCTAGGTATCATCAAGTGAACGACCAAGATTACCTATCACAGTAGGGCCAGTTCCTTCCAGAGTCTGTGCCACGCCTGTCTCCTACCTTCTGATGGTTGACTGTAATCCTTGCTGGTTTTTGATTTGTGATACCTCAGTAGAACTCTGCCTCAGATATCAAATAGCATCCCTGTGTGCCTGTGTCTTCTCTTCTCTTCATACATAAATATCAGTAATATTGGGATCAAGGGTCCACCCTACTCCAATAGCATCTCAAGTCATTAGATCTCTAGTGGCCATTGTTTAAAAATAATATCACACTCTGGGCTTCTTGGAAGGACAGTGTTTTGGAGTTACTATGCAAGTCCGTATGTCTAACCAACAAGAAACATAGTGGTGAGTTTCTGCAGTGGTGTTCATGTTGGAACAATGTCATGAAAGACTATATCTGTGGTCTCCACCCAGCCTGAGGGCAGCAGATGGTATATGGCTTGCAAATCAGGTCACAAGCTGAGGACTGTTTCCTATTGCTTGGATAGAGGACAGCTTGGTGAAATTACACTCACGTCCTTTGAGTGCATCTGTGGCTAATTGGTCTAGAAACATATGGATGCTGCCTTATTTTTCTTCCCATGCAAAAAACCATTTCATGGTAGTGGATGCCAGTTTGAGTGAACAACAGGGCGAATCTTGCTCCTAGTTGAGACAAAGAACAAATTTAGAGGAGAGGAAGATTCTTAATTCTGTAGCTACCAGGTGGCTAAATCTTAAAAATACACGCGCATCTGGAAAAGCTGGTCAGCATTGCCTGAGTTCAGTACTGCCTGGGTCTAGCTTCAAAGTGTGTTCTGGTTTGAGTATTCTCTCTGGAGGTTTGTATGCTTGAAGGCTTGAAGATTAGTCTCTAACGAGAGGGACAGTTAAGAGCCAAGCCCTGGTGGAAGGCAGATTGTGGGGAGAGCAACAGGACAGGGTTAATATTGGTCTCATGGACTGAGGGCCTATAAGGCAAGGTCACAGCACATATTTGGTCCCTTCTGTACTTGACCAGTACTCTACCATAGTGCAGTGTAGCCAAGGGCTCTCACCAGGATGTGGAGGCCACCAGAATCACAAGACAAATAAAGTCCTTTTCTTTCCAAATTACATCTGGGTAGCATTGAGTATTTTGTTATTGTAAAACAAACAGAAAGAGTGATTCAGAAATGTGGTGTGGGACCCCATCTGGGCTAAGATCAAAGAGCCCTGCTGGTGGGGCTGGTATCTATTTACTTGTTCTTTGAACATTCATACTAAAAGCCTCCTCTGGACAGGAGTCCTGGACATAAAACATTGTCTTGGGAGAGATGATACCTATGGAGAGATACAGATATAGACTTCTAATTCTAAACGAGAATCTGGTCCTCAGGAAGACACAGAGACAAGAGTGGAGGAATTCCTTCTCACACTGTTGGAAAAAGGCTCAGTAGGTTCCAGGGACTCTGCCCTCAGCCTGATCTTGCAGAGCCTGGGGGCTGAGAAACATGCCCCAGGCTGTACAAGGCTGCATTTACCATGCCTGTGTGTGACACCCTATCCACAGCCAGATAAACTCTAGTTTGTACTGTGTCTACAATGCATACCCTGGGTTGTCTTCTCCTAACACAGAGACACACAGACACACACAGACACACAGACATACACATACACACACAGACACACAGACATACACATACACATACAGACACACAGAGACACATACAGACACACATAGACACACACACTCTTCTCCCAACACACAGGCAAACACATACATATACATCTCCCCCAACACACACATACACACACACACACACCAATCTTGGGGGGATTCATGGCTGCTGAATTCATTCTTTTTGGCTCAGCAATACTTCTAAGGAGTGGAAACCTGAGTCAGCACATGAAACTTGGAGTTTTGAGGTGGCTTAATGAAAGGTCTTCAGAATCATTCTTCTAGCTACAAAACTAGTATTAAAGAGTGTATCTTCCTGCCCATAGCCCAAGGGAGCCCATGACCATGTTCTTTCCTTCCCTTTTGTGTGTATATGTGTCTATATAGTGTATGTACATGTATGTTTGTGTATGTGTGTACATGTGCATGAAGGCAGAAGCCGGAGGTTGATGTCTGGTGAACTCTCCTGCTCACTGAACCTGGTACTTCCTGGTTGGCTAGACTGGCTGGCCAGCAAGCCCTGGGGATCTGTCTAACTTCATCCCTCTCCCAGAACTGACATTACAGATGTGTGCTTCCATGTGGCTGTTTTTTAAATTAAATTTTTTTATTTTTAAAGATGTATTTATTTATTTTATGTATATAAGTACAGTGTAGCTATCTTCAGACACACCAGAAGAGGGCATTGGACCCCATTACAGATGGTTGTGAGCCATCATGTGGCTGCTGGGAATTGAACTCAGGACCTCTGGAAGAGCAGTCAGTGCTCTTAACCGCTGAGCCATCTCCCCAGCCATCTCTCCATGTGGCTTTTTACAAGGTTATACGCATCTGAACTCATGTCCTCCCGCTTATGTGACCAGAACTTTACTGACTGGATCATAACCCCAGTCTGAAGTACTGTCAAGTCAGCCTCAAATCTGTGGCTTCCTTTCCTCCTTAGTGGTCCTAGGCTTTGAAGTTAGGGCTCATGCTTGCTAGTCAAGTGCTCTGCCCCTGAGCTACATCCCCAACCTCACAAGCAGCTTTCTCAATGAGCCTTATTCATCTACAGATGGACAGGGACGCTTTGGGGCCTGTGCTTGTGCCATGTGAGGGGCACACTGACCTGCCATGGTTAGCATGGGAAACCATAGTCACTCACTCACAGTTCAAGTCCTAATTGTCCCACCCCAAAATAATACCTCCTGGGAGTCCTCCTGGAAAAGGCCTCAGACGGCTCTTCCTACAGCCAGCTGAAGACAAAAGCCCAGGCTCCTCTCCTCCCGAGGACAGGTAGGAGGTCATGGGAGGGAGATCTGTCCTATGAGGAGGATCCAGAGAGCCGCCTTTGCATCTTGCCTTCTTCATCCAGCTTTGTTTCCTTGGGCCTTCCATCTCTTAGACTGAATCCTTTCAATTACAAATAAAAGGGTCTATGCTAAATAAGTTATCCTAGTTCCAAAATTCTTGTATTCTTTATTCAGAATCCAAGTGGGACAGGGTGGTTTATAATTGTTTTTCATGTCACTACAACAAAATACCCAACAAGAACTGGGGACAGAGCTTTATTTTGGCTTGCAGTTTCTGAGTTTTCATCCTGATGGGAAAGGCAATGACAAAGCAACTCAGATCATGGCAGCCAGAATGTGTGGCAGAGGCTGTTCACATCAAGGCTGACCAGGAAGCAGAGTAAAACAGGAAGTGGGAAGGGATAACACACCCATTAAGGACCATCTCCCAGCTTCCAGTGACCTACTTCCACCAGCTAGGCTCCACCTCCCAAAGTCTCCAGATCCTTCCAAAATAGCTCAGTCACAGGAGGACCAAACATTCCAAACATAAGCCCATGGAAGACCTTTCAGACTCAAACCACAGCTGATGGCTGGCAAATACAGCCACACTCATTATTACGGCTGAGAGGAAATTTGTCTGCACTGTGTCTGCCAATGACTTTGTTTTCATTGAATTCTACGCTCTTCTTTTCTTTTTTTTTTAATTTTCTTATTGTCAACCATGTGACTGTTCTTGCCAAAAATGGGAATAAATGTATTTTCCATTCACCATTAGTTTGTCTTTCAAATATTTCTTTTGAAATTGGCAAAACGTCTTCTTTTTTTTAAAAAGTAACTTATTTTCACACCCTCTTACAGGTACAAAGGATTTAAGGGCAACTGCTCCATGACCTTCATTGATCAGTTTCGAGCGCTGCACCAGTGTAACAAGTACTGTAAAATGCTGGGGCTGAAATCCCTTCAAAACAACAGCCAGAAGCCCAAGAAAACAATCCTCGGGAAAGGCAGGGTTCAGACAAACTCGTCACCAGTGAAGGCTCCCGAGTCTGAGACGCCCACAGAAAAGAAAACCTAACATCCCTCATCCCTTCGTCACCAATGACAACCAGCCAGCAGCACACAGGCTTGTAAGTGGACATCTGCAAACACACGGGGGACGCGAGCCTGCAGCCTGCAGGGTGTCAGTCCTCTTCAGCTCACTATCACTCACTGTCTGCTGAAGTGACCGTGGCATGGATCTTCCTGACTAGCCTTGTAGGGAGACTCAGCAGTTCTGTTGATGGTCTCAAAGACAGCCCACTGTTTGTGTACACAGCTAATGTTTGTACACCCCACCCCACCCCCACCTCATCATGTATCTATTTGTGTGTGTTGCACGTGGTTTGTTGACAAGAGTTTTCCACGCCGCCTTGCGACTGGCCACCTTCAAAATCCTTCCACCTCCTCACCTTGGGATGTCTGGACGTTCCTGCAATCATGAATGTCAAGTTGTTGTATCAGTGTCACCTAGGCTATTGTTGCTGGAGGTGGCTTCCCAGATGTGAGGCCATTTCCTGGCACTATGTACATAGCCTGGCACGGTGTTCTGTTTCATTAAATTCATGTTTAAGCAAAAAGGGTAAAGTACATATGCCTTCATAGCCATGTGCCCATTGGAATCTGTGCTTTTCCACATCCCTTCAAGGTTTTGTAATTCAGAAGTTTCCCAACAGGTTGGCTGGCACACACAACATTTGCACCGTGTTTTCTCATCTTACAACTGGGGTTCCACCATGTTCTAGATGTAGTCTGGTGAGGTAGGGTACAACAGCTATAGGGGCCCTGCCTTCCCTTGCTCCTTATGGGTCTCCTCTAGGTCACCCTCCTTCCCTGTTATATCCTGGGAAGGGCAGAAGCTATGGTGACTGTGCCTGAAGCCCTCTCCAAGAGGGACTGGCTTTCAATAGGACACTCCTGGCTTCTTTAGCTTCTGTTCCCTGCTGGGCCTGGTGGCAGAGGCCCATCATCCTAGCTACTGGGGAGGCTGAAGCAGGAGGGTGCAAAGCTCATGGTCAGCATGGGTAACTTGGTGAGTCTCTCCCTCAAACAACCCAAACCAACAACAACAGAACAAGTAAACTGGGCTGGGTTCTAGCTCAGCCGGTGAGTGTTTGGCTAGAGCAAGGTCTTGGGTTCAGTCAAACAGTGTGAAGCAAACCCCTTCTCCTACACATTGGAGTCTTGATGGGAAAAGGGATACACTGAGGAGAAAGCGTTTGTCACTCAGTGTCTCATCTTGCTAAAAGCATTCTGCAGTTCTAATCTCGCTTCTGAGATGGCTCCCCTGCCTCTCTGATGTTAGCACTGTCTTCTTTTATTCCCCCATATGAGGGAGACTTGGGGCTGACTTGTGTCACAGAGATTTTAGAGATGTGTATTAAACAGTGACATTCTAGGACATATTTGATAGGATCTCTCTCTCTCTCTCTCTCTCTCTCTATCTCTCTCTCTCTCTATCTATCTATCTCTCTTTCTCTACCTATCTATCTATCTACCTTCCTATCTATCATCTATCTATCTATCTTCTATCTATCTATCTATCTATCTATCTATCTATCTATCTATCTATCATCTATCTATCTATCTTCTATCTCTAGTCATCTACCACATGTAATCTCTATTGCCTATATAAATTGGTCATCTATAATTTATCTAATATCTATAATCTACCGTTCATCTATGGTAATACACACACGAACACATCCTGTTTACCCATAGCTCTCATCTGTGTGTGTCTAAGTGTGGGTGCAACTAGAACCTTCTTGACAGGTCATCATTCTTTCTTGGATAATAACTTGTTATTATAAAAATAATAACAAAATATATGGTTAAGACAGCACAGAAAGGCTTGATATATGAAGAGCCAGTCATATGTAAGCCTGCTGTTGGTCTGTCTGTCTGTCTGTCTGTCTGTCTGTCTGTCTATCTTCATCAAATCTTGAATCAAGCACTGGAGCCTTTCTTGGTGTGGCCATCTCTGCCTCCTTTCATGGATGCTCAGGTTTTTGTTTTCAAAGTGCCTATATTATTTATTACAGTGTGGTTTTTTTTTTTACAAGTTTGCAATGATTTGGAGGCCTAGAGACAGAAAGGGCACTACCATGAGGTTCGTACCAGCCAAGGCTCTTGGAGATAGCCTCGTATGGCTACATTGCTGCCCAGTCTTCCATTGGGTGTTATTTTCCTTGCACAAACATCAGGGCGACCATGAAGCAGGTTTTCTTACACCAAAGCATGGGTCCCGGGTCTCACAACACTCAGCCCTATTGCTGTTGTTTTAGTTCAATTTGCAACAAGCCAGTTACTATTGATTCTCCCATAATGCACCTCAGGAGTACTATAAATACCTGAGTGCTCACTTGGCCAACAATGTAGGAAGGTCCAGAGAGCCCAGAGGGGCTTTTGATACCTGACAGTGATCACATACAGATCTGGCTTAGTTTCCTAAAAGGCTGGACCATGGAGTTCTGTGATGGGCATATTACCCAAAGGAAAGTGTTATGAAAACAGGTGTGCATTTCCAACAGCAGGCTCCTCACTAATGAGAGTGCTTGGGGACTGAAGACTTGGAGAGGTCCGATGCTGAGCGCCCGGACAGCTGGTTTGTATTTCCTGTTATCTGTTGTCCCTGTGCCTCCCAGACATGCTTCTGGTGAGCTTCACCATAGCAAAAGGTTTCAATAGAATCTGATGAAAAAGAATGCCTGAAAAAGTACCAATTATCTTCTCAATTATACAGCCCTCTCTTTTCCAAACGTGCATTTTGTGTGTGTGGTGGGCATGTGTTCAACTGGATGCAGAGGGGAGGAACTTGCCAACAACCTCATTCTGGTTTGCTTTCTCTGTGTACTTTCTGCTCCATTGGACCATGTGTGCTGAAGGGAACAGAGCAGTGTCTCGCCTACACAGACCTACAGCTGCAGCATTGGCTTAACAAAAAAAAAAAAAAAAAAAAAAAATCAGCGAGGCACCCAAACCTCTCTCAGTCTCAGAACCTTGCCACTTGGCAGATCTGCTTGTTCTAAGATCAAAGCTGGCAAGCAAGACGGCAGCCAGTTCCAGCCGTAGGATCAGACTCCTCCAATACCATGAGTAAATGTTGACACTAATCAAACCAATTGATCAAGATTTCCCCAAAATTCTGTTTTTCATGAAACCCCAAAGATCCCAAAGGGAAAACACAACAGAGACTTTTTAAATTGTTATTTTTTATTTTCATTTTTCATTTTTTGCTATATTTTGAGACAGGGTGTCATTCAGCCTGGGGGTGGCCTTGAACTTGCCGCATAGTGGAAAGTGACCTTGAACACCTGATTCTCCTGCCTCTCTGTAAAAGCTTGGGTTAACAGTTGTGCTGCTGTGGTTTTCAGAGACTCTTTTTCAAAAGGCACACCTTAAATCTCGTCAAAGGCCAGTCTGCTGGCTTCTATCTTAAGTTAGGTTAATGGAGGTTATCCTAGGTTAATGGAGGCAACTCTGTTGAGGTGTAAACTCTGTCTCCTCTCATCCTACCATTTCTTCTGTTTCTCTGTCTACTTTGGATGCTAACGTGGTGGCTTTCAGTAAGCCGCCTTCAGGATTTCCTTTGGTGCTTGTCTTATTTGTAGAGCTCAGTTAGGCATAGCAAAGTTACCAGAACTATTGGGAGGCACATGTAAACAGAGTCTCTGTTCTGGAAGCTGGGAATCCTGCTTCTCCAGGTTGGTGGAGCTGTCTGACTCTGAAGGTGCAAAGGAAATCTCTGCTTCAGACATCTTGCTTCCAGAAGACCCTTGGCTAATGGTAGGTGGCCCCTGGTGTTCAGGGATGTTCTCCCTCTGTGTCTGAACTGCACCTTGGCATATATAGACACTAAACACATTGGGTTAAGGCCCACCCCAATGACCTCATTTTTAACTTGGTAAATGACTCTTCAAATAATACCACATTTTGAGATTCTGGGGTTAGGATTCTAACCCAGGCATTCCACATACAAAGGTGACTTCAGTCTTGCACATCTGTATCACTTCTGGGTACTTCATTCAGGTCCCCAGATCTAAGAAAAGAAGGATGGCACCCCAAGCCCCCGCCCCCACTCCTCTTCACTAGCTAGCCTGGTGATTGGAATCTGGCTCATAGGATTGGTCCCTGGTTCCCATAGGAATGGTCCCTGGTTCTGATGGATCTCACACCATTAGTTCTGAGCATTTTAAAAGCGAGATCATAATTTGGTCCTTTTTTAAGAGTGGTAGGGAAATTTTTCCTCAAAAGCTGAGACAGTATGACTTGCCATCTGTGGCACGGTTGTCCCCAAATCCCAGGGGCCAAGATGATGACCACACTGTCGTCTTTCAGTCAAACACCCCGCTCCCGTGTGACTTCAGCATCCTGGTGGAAAAACAAAACGAAACAAAACTGTCCTCAGACCCTAACTGCCAATACTATTGTACCAGTATCCTGAAGCTGATCCCGAGGAAACCAGTGACAAGGTGTACTTGTCTTTTAAAAGCTTTCAGTCTCCCTCAGGAGATTGAAACTCATTGCCAGGTCCATGAAATTTCTCAGTTTACCTCAAATATCTTTCTCACCTGACCTCAGGGCTTCTTTCATTGTCTCCTGTAACACTGGTCTTGTTCTCTGAACACTTCTGCCTTGGGTCCTTAGCATCTTCAGTTCCTTTTGTCAGGACAAGTCTTCTCAGGTCTCAGCTCACAGACTGCTACTTCTCTGCTAATTCTATTTAAACTCCAAGGCCCCCTCTCCTGGCTCCTCTATCCAACTCTGCATCCGGTAAAGCACCTTTATCAACATGAGACAGCCTACAGATTTTATTTTGTAATTGCTTCTCTCCTCCAAGGTTTCCCCCATCCTTGTTTATCAAGATGTACCTTAATACCAGGAGCTGTCTCCAATGGAGGACCCTTCGATAGACACTGACTCTTTGCATGAATATCCCTGTCTCCTGTATGCTGAAGCTCCCTGAAAGACAGAAAGAGCTTCCTTTTTCTGGTCCCTTGGAAAGGATGAAAGCCCCCAGGTCTTCTTCATTCTGCACATGGGATCATTAGTGTCAAATCTTTTGTAAAACCCTATCTCAGTTCTGAGTGAGCTAGGGTTCCGGGCTCCATTTTTAACACTTATAGCTGTGTGAAGTTAAAGTTACTGACTCTTTCTGAATCCCATCTAATGAATGGATATAACAATTAGCTGTTTTGCAGGGATGTGAATAGAAAGTCACACACACACACACACACACACACACACACACTGACTTAGGATGGCATTCCAAAACTGTAAATCATCACCATAACCACTAGGTTTTACACTTTTCAGCTTGGGTAAGTACAATAAAGCTACAACTATCTAGATTTCATTCAATCATCTTCCTATTCACTGGGAGAAAACAGTGAGCTAAAAGATTGCCTACGTGACTTGAAACTGTATTAACTACATTTTCACTAGTGATAACTTTTAAGAAAAGACAATATGTCATAGAATGGATTTCTGTGGTAATTTTTTCAAGGTTCCATTTTTAAGGTACACTGTTCCACTGCCCCCACACTGTAGAACACTCTGCATTAGCCCCCTGCTCCTCCAAACCCGGGCTCTAGCCAAGTGATAGTTTTATTACTTTGCTTCAAGTGCCTCAAAGTCACCTAAAGCACCAAGAATCTCCCACTGAAAATGTCCACGGAATGGTGGCAGGGCTGCGGGAATCACTGTCCTTGCTGCTTTTAGGAAAGTGGAGCTTTTGCTCAGTAGGTAGCCCTTCCAGGTTCCTGCCCCCATTGGTCTTCTGAAAAAGGTGCATTTTGAGCAGAACATCAAAGAAGGTAATGGACCAGCAGGGAAAACAAAGGCAGATATCCTACCTGGGGACAATCTCAAAGCCAGTCTTAGGCAGCAAAAATCCACACATCCTTGGGCAACAATAAACAACTTTACCTGGCCACAGGAAGTGTGTCCCAGGAGTAAAGAGAAAAGAGAAGTGGAATTCTGAAGAGTTCAAGATTCGGTCTTGACTGATTGGTCAGAGAAATGGGCTCACTTCTAGAGGAACTAAAGGTTTAGCCCTGATCATGGTTGACCTAGAGGACCTTAGGAGGGTACAGTGTTTATCTAGACAGCAGGAAGGGAGAGGCATAGAAAACAGGGCACCTAGCCATGTGAGGCGTCTTTACCATGGAAGACATCTCTGAGCAGAACAAGACAGAGCAACAGGAACCCAGGAAGATACTGAGCCTAGAGGGGCATGTCCTGTGGAGTCAGAGGCTAGCACCATACGAAGAAGGCCTGTGTCCCCCAGAGTCCCCCAGTGACCCCTGGAGTCATTGGGGTGAGTCCTAATCCAGCATGGTTGGCATTAAGATCCTAACTCTTACGGTGTTTTGTTAGGGAGTGGACTTGGGAAGATCATTGTGTCCAAAGGGTAGGGCCTTGACGCGTGGGATTAGCTTTCTCATAAAAGGAGCCCTGGAGAGACCCCATCTCTGACACGGTAGACAACTTCGCCGAGAAGATCCCGTCTATAAACCAAAAAGTGGCCCCTTGCCAGACCCTGAACTCTCTGGTGCCTTGCTTGATCTTAGACCAGTCACCAAGCCTCTGGAAAAAAATAAATAAATAAAACCATGTAGTCCATGCTGTTTTGTTACAGCAGCCAGAACGAACTAGAACAAACTAGAATAAACTAGAATGAACTAGAACAAACTAGAATGAGCTAGAATGAATTAGTTCACTTGGAGACAAGGAGAAAAATAAGAATGTGGTCTTGCTTGCTCTAGTGCTTGTTTGCCTGCTCTGTCTCATGCAGCTAACTCTGTCTCTAGGCTTTTATTATAGGAGAACTATTAATGCTCCATTTTATCTAAACCACTTGCTTCTTGACATGCTTATGTTTAAAATGCTTAAGATTATAAGTAAAGTTCTCCAAACAAGTCAAAGCAGAGGGCTGAGCTTCGTCCTCCCTGCACATCAAGATAACAAGTGTACTTCACTATGCTCCCAAGGTGCCTCTTGTGAATGGTCTAGGGTATAGTCAGGGCATAGAGAGTTCTAGAAGCTCCCCCTGATGTGTTTATAAAAAGATAAAGAGATATACAATATCTTTATGGGGGTGTGGTGAGGTATGGAGGAAGGAGATGTCTCAGCAGGCCCATGCCGAGGCATCTCTTCCCCCTGAGGAACCAGCCACATGACGGTATAGTAGAATAGAGAGTATATTCAGGGCATGGGGAGGAGAGTTAAGAGGGTAGTAGAAGTAGAGAAAGACAGAGGGGGGGGGTAGAGGGCAGCCATGAACACGTGGAGAGAAGGGAAGGGAGGGGGTGGAAGGGAAGAGTCCAAGAAGGCAAGAAAGGGACAGGTCAAGGAGAGCAAAAGAGAGGGGAGGGGGCAAGCAGCCCCTTTTACAGTGGGCCAGGCCTATCTGGCTGTTGCCAGGGAACTGTGGGACTGTGGGGTGGAGTTTAGACAGAATGCTAACACTCCCCATGATTCTAATTTGCAGACATCTAAGGACACACTCACTGTACTATAGTTCAAGGCAGAGCAGACTAATTGATTGATCCCTCCATTAAACACTAACAAGAGCCTCTGTGGACCCACTTAAAGCCCCGAGGTTCCCAGCCTGGGTCTGTATCCAGGCTCCTTGGAGGGATGAGAACATCTGCTGCTGGCTTAACCTTCTTTTCTGATCTCATGGGCCTGCTGGGCCAGCTGATTTTTATCTTCAACAAGCTCTCAGTCAGCTCCGGGGCAGCTGGGAGAAACATAGGTATTGCCCATGAGTTGTCTCCTTTTTCCTCCCCATCTTCTCTCCTTTGCCCTCTCCCTGCCCAGCAGAAATCTTGAACCCAAGGGTGATTTTGCTTGCTTTGCTGCTCATACTTTTGGAACAAAGGACACCAAGTGTTCTAGTTTGCCACAAGACCCCTTACAAAATGCCTGCCCCAGCCCTTTACCTTGCACATAGTAGCTGACTGAGAAACATTGGTCTAAAAGCAAACCCCTTGAGGACATCAAAGAAAGAATTTTTCTTCTTGCAAACAAAATTCCACAGCACATCATCAGTATCTTTAGGTAGTTATGTAGAATTAAGTCTTTGGGGACTCAAAGCTGCACCGAACAGGCACATCATTCACTCTAATTTCTGGCAAATGACCCAGTCTGAGATGCATCAAGTTCTTGCATAGGAGACACTAGAAAAACCTCAGCAACTAGAAAACGTCAGACCGGGAGTTCAGTAGCTGGCACATCTGGGTAAACAGGAAAGGATCCGCTTTTGTATCCAGCTCGGTGTGAGGCCAAGCAGAAACGCAAGGCAAGATGGGCTATGGCAGAGACAGGCAGCCCTAAGAAATGGGAAGGCATTTAATTAGCTCTTGCCTGGGCCCCAATGTGCCAGAAAAATGAAAAGCAAGAACCTTGCTGTGCAGGTAGAACAAGATTAGTTCTTGTCTGCCGTATTTAATGGGTCAACAGGCACTCCATGGAACAATCTCCCTCGTTCTTTCCCATCTCTCTCCCAGGCTTTTGAAAAAGTACTTTATCAAAATTAGTCCGGATTCTGCTGCCAAGGGATTTTCAAATGCAATCTCTTTCCTAGCAAATCTGAAGACCCCGTCCAGCCACAGCTGCTATGATGCGCGGGGACCCATTCTACCACTAGGGGTCAGCATCCTAAGAAAAGTGCCACCCCAGACTCAAATTTTTGTGGGCAAAGCTCCTCAGCCCAGTTCAGAACACTGTCTTTTTCTGATTTAAAACAAAATAGGAAGAAAAAATACTAGAGAGATCAGACTTTGGAGGTGTCTTACCCAAATCCATAGAGAAAATTCTTTTTGTTGTCATGCTGAGAATCAAACTCAGGGTGTCAAACATGCTAAGTAAGTGCTTGAGCACTGAGCCACATACCTAGCTTGGGAAATCAAAAGTCTCTGTGTGTTGCCATGAGGCAGGCAAAGCATGGGGAATAGGTTTGCAACATGGGATGCTATTTGTTTTAGCTGCATGCATAGCCTTTTTCTTTCTTTCCTTCTTTCTTATCTTTTTTCTTTTTTGACTTTTTGTTGATTCTTTGTGAATTTCACATCATGCACCCCAGTTTCACTCATCTTCCCATCCTCTCATATCTGCCCTTTGCCCTTGCAACTCCCCCCAAAACAACACACTCACACCACCACCACCACCACCACCACCACCAACAACAACAACAACAACAACAAAGCATAGAAAAATGATCTTGTTGTGGAAGCTGTAGTATGTCACAGTGTGTCCCACAGTTTGTCCCTCTGTCCACACGTCTTCACTTGCAAATGTTCATTACAATGAGTCATTGGTCTGGTTCGAGATCTCTAGCTTCTGTGACACCATCAATATTGGATCCTCCTCGGGACGCCTTCCAGTTACCGTGTTGTGGTCCTGTGTCATGGAGCTCCGACAGCTTTAGAACAGCAATACAGCCCCTTTCACACACCGTCCCAGCCATTTGCAGATGATATAGATTTTGGGGCGGGCCAATTCAGAACCCTGGATCGGGGTCTGGGTGGTAGCTGATCTGGTAGGCCTGTTGGTTCTCCCTTATCCACATCACCTGGGCAAGTTCTCCAGCACTGCTTTGGCTAGGCCAACCAATACCACCATTGGCAGGAAGCAGAGTCAGCTCTCCTGCTCTTACGCACTCTGCTCTCATGCCCCCAGGGCTGGCTTATCCATGCCTTTGCCATCAGGACCAGCTCCAGGTAAGGTACAGGGCCTGCTCTCCCAAGTGCTGCAGCCACTGAGGGGCAGGATCAGCTCACCAGCACTCATGACCCCGGGACCAATTTCCGGACTAAGCAGATAGCAAGTGGCATGAGAGAGGAAGGGGCTGGGAGGGAAGGGGAGTGCAGGGGTTGGGGGCATCACCCCCACCCCCATGCCACCTCACAGCACATGAGTAGTGGAGCCAGCTCTATCTTGCTCTGTCCTCAGGGCTGGCTCACCTGCTCTCCATCATCCAGGGCCAGCACTACAGTGCTGCCCAGGCAAGGTGCAGGGCTTCTCTCCCGAGTGCTGCTGCGGCAGCTCTCCAGAGAATTGTATACAGTGAGGGCGTGGCCAGTTAAGCACAGCCCTTGGCTATCCACAGGGTTCCACACAGCTTCAACAACCAGCGACATCCTCATGTTCTATAGTGGTGGTATGAGCCATGGATGTGGAGACTGTAGCCATGCTGGCCACCTATAACAGGCTATTCCTCTCCATCCTCCCGCGTCCAGTTCCATCTCTTTCACAATGCTCAAACCCCTATACTCTCTTCCTCTCGCATCTGACCACCACGTACTCAGGCATTGTGGTGGCCCCAGATGCAGGCTGGCCACGCAGCTGGCCGCCCCCAGATGACATTCTCCATCCACACTGTGTGGTGTGGTGGCAAGCAGGTGTCTATGGCATGCCTGTTGCCGTGTGCTGGAAGGAAGATCTGTGGGTGACATGGTGGTCTGCTGTTCTCTGTCTGTCTTCCTCTTCCTGTACTGTGGTGTGCTGCCTGGATTTGATTTGATTTTTATGAGTCCTCGGTATAACACAGCTGTGGCCACCAAGCCAGGCATCAAGCTAGGATGAACAAAGGACTGCCATCTGCTCTGTTCCTGACTGATATAAGAACACCACTGCCAACAAGTTGTCTCTTTGCTCATTGCTGGGAGGAGTTGGGGGTCAGAGGTTGGGGGAGGTGATGGGGTGGTGGAATGAAGGCGTGGGGCAGCATAACCCTTTTCTAATAATGTACTTGATCCTGAAACAGATACCTGCTTATACTACACACACACACACACACACACACAGGCACGCGCGAGCGCACACGCACACACATGCTCGAGCACACCCAGTCCTTAGTCATCTACATAATAGACCCAAAGACTTTTTTAAACTAAAGGCGCTTTTTTTCTGGGGGCGTATGGCTGCATTTTGAGAAAGGGGAATTTCCCAACTCCCTCCTGCATCCCCCATAAATTCCAGAGTTATACTTCAGTGGTTTCTCTTGGGGAATCCTAGAGGATGCTTTGGAAACCTGAAAGTAATTTAGTCTCTACCAAAGTGAAAACTGAGGTTTTCCTTGCTATGGTCACCTAATGGCTTGAAGAGCAACAGAAGGGCTGGTACCCCCTACTCTTGTCTTACCACCCCCATATGTCTCGTGTAATTCAAGATGGTCTCGAACTCCTTATGAAGTCAAAGATGACCTTGAGTCTGTCTCTACACCTAAATCCTGGGGTTGCGGGCATATGCACAGTGCTGGGATCTGATCAGGCTTTGGGTATGGCAGCAGGCTGTGGGCAAGCCCTGGCAACAGTTACATTCCAGTTCTTACTCTTGCCTTATTCTCACTTGCTACAGATGCTATCCCCCCTCCTTAAGCCCAGGGGTGTCACGCTCACTTCCAAGGTCCTACTGCTTTGTCAGTGCTCTCACTAGAGGACCGCAAGGAAACTCTCAAAGATCATATCATCTTCAGATGATCAGTGGCCAGCGGTTGCAATGCTGGCTGGCAGCAAGTAGGATCACACAGCGGAGTGACAGCTGAGTAAACGAGTAAGGGAGTCAATATCAGATTTTGCCTGCTCATCTGTATGCCCTCTGTAGAATCCCAAGTACGCATTAAATTCCTGCCACATCAAGCTTTCTTCAGAATATACATAGCGATGCTGCTTTCTCTATTAAACTGAGTCACCAGTGGCCAGTTCTGTGAGCTCCTGCATGTCTGGCTCCTTTCCTTTTCAAGCATAAAGCAGAGAAGGAAATTCAATACCAAAGAGAAAAAAGCAGATGTTCCCACCTGTCTACTAATGGTGTCTACTGTGAGCTTGCTCTAATGGCTCTCTGTAGGGCCGGTGGTGAGGTGTCCATCCAGGGACTTAGCTGTAGGTTTTTGGTGGCTGGGAAGAGGCAGTCAGGAAGGAAAGAAACCTAGTGACCTGGTTCTGTGAGTGCATTGTCAACCCAGGCGGCTCACAGCCTGCCAAGCTCTTCTGGGAAATTAAGATTCTTCTCCTGTCACTGAAAAACATACGGCTTCATCTTCCAACCCCTGAGCAGATCCTCAGCTGTTCATTAAGCTGACAAACCACAGAGTAAAAGCAGCAGGTTCAGATGATGTGACATCAGAGCCCCAAACAATAGCCAGTTAGCTCCTGAGTCTTTAAAACGAACAAGGAGGAAGCTTTCTCAACACCAACAAAGAAAGATCATAACCTCAAAGACTTGAGATCTCTTTCTCTGGGGAGAAATAAAAGGTATAATTCACAGCTCTTGGCTGTCTATGCCTCTGGGTTGGCACCTACCACAGTGAGGAATGGTTGTGTTTAGGCACCCACCCAATTACTAAATGGGAAAGGTTGGGGAGAGGACTCAGTCTTATTCTTTGTATCTCCAGAGTCCAGTACAATACCTACCGTATAGTAACTACACAAGCCATGTTGCTCCCTGAGTGAGTGATGAAGCTGGGGTTGGGGGTGTTTTTTAAACCAGCCAGCACATTCTAGAATTCTTGGCTTCAATTTGCCCATCAGAACAATGAGTGAGCTGTTTTCTAATCCTAGCCTTGCTTTAATTTCTCTAAGAAGGATGCAAATGTAAGTTTTACAGATTTTAGAAGTGTCCAGAGGAGCGTATGCATGAGCCATTGGCATATGGTGACTCCCTTGGAGCTGGAAGAAAGCAGGACAGGCCCTGAGTGGTGATTGACATGTTTACTGAACACACTGTGCAGAGAAGGAAAGATGGACAAAAGACCTCACTAGTGCCATCCACAAAGTCAAGTAAGACTCAAGTAGCCTGCTTGCTGAGAAGAAAACTAGTAGTGTGGCTGTCTGCATTCTCTATTGCCTCCCTAGGTTTAGAGTGATTTTAAGCAATATGTCCAAGTGGACCCTTCCATCTTGCAAATAGCACTTGGAGTCAGTCTGTATGCATCCCTAGGAATGGTTGCCTGGAAACAGCTGGCCATATCTTCGCTGGGACGGGGAGGAGATGAAAGCTGATCTGGGGAAGTATACTATCACCAGATATCTGAAGCAGCAGGACTGTGTAAACAGTGTCTTTAAAGTGGGAGACAGAAGGGCTGGGAGATGGCTCAGTCAGTATAGAGCTTTCTTCCCAAGCCTGAGGACCTGAGTTTGATTCTCTAGAACCTACATTTTAAAAGGTGGACACAATAGTGCATGCCTAAAATCCCACGTTGGGTTATGGAACTTGCTGGCCATCCAGGCTAGCCAAATTCCTGGTTCCAGGTTCAATGAGAGACCCTGTCTCATAAAAACAAGGTGAAGAACAACCAAGGAACACACATACATACACACACACACACACACACACACACACACACACACACATACATACATAGTGACACAAAGTGGGCACATAGATGTTTTGCTGTCTGTATGTGTCCCTTGGAAACCTACAGAAAGAACAGGTCTTTTATTTTGAATGAGGAATGAGGTAGGCAGCAATCATAATACGCCATTTAATGAGCCACAGTAGTAGAAGCGAACACAGAAAGCCCTTCTTTATGTTCCTGGGTTAATTCCATCTAATTAAGGTCCCAGCATGATGGAACAGAATGAATATCACCCTCAAATCTGAGAATAATTTGGAGCCAGAAGATTCTGTGACTTTCAGTACTACCTACTACCGTTGAGGAGGTCTCTAAGATGGCTGCCCCATATCTTGACACTTTCTGACCACCTTAACTGCCACATAAATGTTCCTTTTCTTTCATTTTTCTTCAATAAGAGAGTTCTGGAATATCTGGCTCTCTCTGGACTGTGAATCTTCATGAGGACTTTCGTACATCCATCCCTCGGTTGGGCTTTCTTTCAGTGTTTACCGGAGGCAGACCCGCAGAGAGCTGAGGATGCTAATTAGCCAGGAGAATGTTTAACTCAGTTTCAACATGGACTCAGCCAGGGTTTTGTGGAAAAATCATATCAAGGAAGGTTACAAGTAAAGAGCAGGACTCTTTATTTAAAAGCTTCATCATGTATTGTGGTTTGAAGGAGCAAATGACACCAGAAGCACCATTCTCAGCTTGCTGTCCACGGGAGGGGACCAAAACCTGTGCCATCTTTGCCTTGGGTTGCGGAGGTCCAATAAAATCATGTGCATGGGGGTGATTCCTATAATGGCAAAGGTCACTATCAGTACTTGCTCGGGTGATGCTATTTCCATAAAAAGACACACACACTAGAAAGAATGCCAGGATACTCATTCTTTCAGAGGTATTTGATCTCCTCTTGGCAGTTGACTTGTCAGGAAAAAATAAATTGTTGGGGGAAATACACTGAGCAGGTAGAAATGTACTTTGTGTTTTTTTTTTTTCCTTTGTACAAAGCTACTCATGATCTTAAAGCCTTTACAGTGCATCCTGGATGTGTGGGATGTACTTCTGGGGTGCTCTCTAGCAAGGACCTTAGAATCCATTGGCAAAGTTTTCCCGCTGGGATCCTTCTTATTAAGTGCAACTAGGGCCATGAAGATTGTGCGCCAATAGAATGCAAGCCAGCAATTGCTCATTCCTAGAAATAAATAATGTCAGACACTTTTTATTTAAAAGTACCCCTAGGGCCTAGGGCTGTGCAGGGCTCAGGGAAGCCACTCTGTACACATTTGATAAGTGCTGGCTGATGGATGAATGCATTTGTTTCTGATGGTTGATCTGATTCCATCAACTTGACTAAGAGTATACTAGTCCATTCAGGCAAGTCAGAGAGGAGAACTTTTGCCTGCAACAGAACTTTTGTTTTTACTCAAGATGCCTCTCAAAGAATGTATTTGAAACCAGATCACCCATCTATACCACTATCCTAGATGCTGAAAGGCTTCAAATTATTCAGATTTGTTATGGCAACTTACACACCATTTATATGGTGTGTTTATTTGTTTATATGTGGGTTTCTGATGCTGATTTGTAAAAGATAAGACAGATCTAGAATTTAAATCCAGCAATCAATCCAATAATTGGTTAAAATAGTAAAAATCAGACACATATCCCAGAATGTCTGAAAGGTCAGGTAAGCCACATACAGTGTTTTGTTTTTTAATGATAGAAAGTAGAAGACCTCCATGCCTTAATTTATCGCCCATCAGCCTGTGGTTTTCATAGACTAGACTTAACCCCCCATGTGTTTGTTAGTGTCTTTGTGAACTTGACACAAGCTATAGTCATCTGAGAAGAGAGAGCCTCAGCTGAGAAAATGCCTTTATCAGATTGGCCTATAGACAAGCCTGTGGATCAGTTTCTTGATTGATGATTAATATGAAGGGCCCAGAGCACTGAGTAGTGTCAGCCCTGGGCAGGTGGTCCTGGAATATATCAGAAACTAAGCTGAGCAAGCCAGGAGAGGCAAGCCCAGCAGGCAGCACTCTTCCATGGACTTTGTCCCAGTTCTTGCCTCTAGATTCCTGACCTGCCTGAGTTCCTACCATGGTTTCCCTCGATGATGGACTGCAGTCAGCACACAGAAGCCAAATAGATCCTTTCCTCCCTATGCTGCTTTTGGTCACGGTGTTTATCACAGCAATAGAAGTCTAACTAAGACACCTAGTTATGGTTGTCTTTGCGTCTACATTTTCCTAACATCAGCTCAATGGAACGATGATTCACTTGTGCTGGATCCTCTGGGAGACTTTTTTTTTTTTTACTTTAATGACTTGGGAAAAATAAGGAAATTTACCACCATTATGATTTAATTGTGTGTGTGTGTGTGTGTGTATGTATGTATGTATATATGTATATATGTATATGTGCATATATTTTCAACCATGGTTCCTGGCTCATAATTCCAATCTACCTTGTCTGATAATCCATTTCTCCTCATTTTAGGAGGGTCCTCCCATAAGACTACAAAGAAACATCTGAATAGACAACACTGCTTGCATGCCACCTAATCATTAGACTTCGATCGTCCCTTTTGTCCCACTACATTTCTGTAAGAAGCACAGTTTAGAGGAAGCACTGGAGAAACTGGGTCAATCCTGCAGGCCTGCTTTTTTTTTTTTCAACAGAGGGAAATGAATGATGTCTGGTCAGCTAGAAGGCCAGACTGAAAATGGTCAAGCAACCTGCTGATGACCCTTGGCTACTCCACTAGGAATCAGCCTCCACCTGAGTCCCCCAATAGCCTGAGCATTGTCTAGGCCCTGATGCTGATTCAGTAGACATGAAAATGTGTTGGGAAGCCCACAAGCCTCATGGCCAGTGAGGAGATGGTGTACAAAGTGAAGAATGAAACTTGAGTCAGCACTATCTTTGCAGATACTGGATCAAAAATGTCCAGTGTCTGACCTTACGGTTGAATTTTCTTGTATATTTAAGCATAGCAAAACTTTGGGGGAAAGGATACCACGTGGAAATTATCACCACATAGCTTTAGGCATATGCAAAGGAGTATCCATAAAATCTATGGAGGACAGTTTTGTAGAGCTTCTAGGTAGCCAAACATACGAAGTTCCTGGATCACATATCTCCACTCTGCCTTTACATTATCCTTTGGAATAAGCTGGGCAACATGATTTCCTGAATTTTTAGACCCACTGAAGCAAGTGAATTGGATCTGAGTATGCAGTTATAGAAATTCAAGTTTATAGCTGGTGAGCCAGAAACACAAGGTAAGCAGCTTAGACATTCAATGGACGTCTGAACTGGTGTCTTGGAGACTGTGCCATCCACCTGCTGGAGCCAGGGCTATCTCCACATAGGCAGTGTCAACAGTGAATAGAAATAAAGGATACTTAGCTAGAGTTCAGAGCAAAACAGATAGTGGGCCTAGTGCCAGGAATAAATTGGGTGTCAGAAGTAGTCAGTGTTGGGAGGGTCCCATAGGAAAGGTTGGGTTTTACCGGTGTCTTCCTTTATAGCATCATTTCATTTCACAACAGCTCATGAGGGGAAGGCATCAGGCAGATGTACAGTTGTGAGCACAAGAGGACCAGATTTTATTCATAAATTACACACAATGGAGAGCGTTAGCATAAGACAAAACTTCTTGCTGGGAGAGAACAGATGTCAAGTCACGTATGGAGTAGACGGATTGCCTAGCGGTAGCTATTTAGTGTGATAATGGCGTTTGATGGTTTGGACACAAACACCATTGTCACACTCCACAGCTCTGCCAAGGAAAGTCTGTCGGCATGAGGGTTAACCTTTCCTTCACATTCCTTCGTTGTCACAGACTCCTCCGTGGCTCCAAATGCTGAAACAGGAGCATAAGAAAAGAGCCCCAGGATCTTGAATAAAAAGGAGGGTTCACAAAGGCATTTTACCAAGAGAAACGAACTCCTATGGACAAGGATGGAATTTTTTTTTTACATGTTTCCTAAAAGGCTTGAATTTCAAGAGGAGACAGACACTTTGTACAAATCAAACCATAACAGAAATAAATCCACCGGATAAAACCTCCCACCAGCTCTCACCTCATCATGGATTCCAGTCCATCACTAGCAAATCACTTCTTTGGTTCAAGAAAATTATGATGCTTTTCTTTTCTTTCCTTTTCTTATTTTTTTCTTTTCTTTTTGACATTGGTCTCTTAGGACATAGCCCTGGCTGGCCTTGAACTCACCATGTCAACCCAACTGGCCTCAAACTCACAGAGATCCACCTACGCCTGCCTCTTGGGTATTAGGATTAAAGGCATACACCCCAACTCCTAGCTTGTGATTATTGTTTATGGGCGCTAGCCTATGACCTACTCTCTGTGGAATTGTTGGACACAGAGACATCCTACCTTGCTCAAACTTTAAATCATATTCAGCACAGTCATTCTCTAGTAGAACAGCAGGCAGCGGATGAGGGAATCCAACTAAGAAAGAATGAAGTGAAAACAGCGCGTTTTTTGTTTGTTTGTTTGTTTTTTGTTTTTCCTAGCAGGAAGGTTCACTTTCTAGCAGAAAGGTTGCTGTGTGAGCAAGTGTCTTCTGGATTGACTTGTCTCCAGTTAAATATAGTTTCAACAGTTCTGCGAACCTCTGGTCACGGTGGAGAATGAGAAGAATGAGAAGAGTTTTACCTAATCCTTTGTTTTCTCCAAATGTGGGGAAAGGAGAAGACTGGGTGCCAGTTTCTCACCTCACCGCTATCCCTAGAATAGCTGAGTTGTTAACAGTTGGCTAGAGATTTGCTTTAGCTGTAAAACCGGCTATCTCTAACAAGTGAAAATGAATCCTCCTGCATTCTTCTATCCTGCATTTCCATACAGACCATGAAATCACCCCTTCAAGACAGATTCTGCAGGAACAGCACTCTCTGACCTCAGACCTCTCCTACTTTTGCTCCTCCTCTCCTCTTTCCTTTTCAATGGTGCTGATAGGATCATTGTCCACTTTTAAAAAAAAAAGTCAACTGGCTTTCTTTTGTTCCTCTGTGGCCCCAGCAGACTGCAGGAAAAGACTGTCACTCAGCCCAGTATTAGACAAGTATTCCTCAGTGAAACCAGGAAGCTTCCTGCTGATGTCCAGCCTCACCCTAAAACCTTTGTGTTGACCATGCAGTGATGGGAGTGTGTGTGTGTGTGTGTGTGTGTGTGTGTGTGTGTGTGATGACCTGTCTTTCCCCACCACTCCTTCCAAGAGACAGGCTATGCTGATTTATCTTTGCCTGAAGGACCTAGAGTGGAAATCCCACCTCTTTTTCACCCCCAGGGATTCCCTGACCATCTCAGTGGGGCTCTAGAACCCCCTTCCCACATGTAGTAAAATCTACCAGGAGAGATGAGGCGTTCATTAGTGCTGTAGGGGTGAGGACCTCTCAGTGCTCGATCTGCAAAAAACAGAAAGGAGAAGGAAGAGGAGGAAACCAACGTGTCACACCCAAACCTTGCCTAACCTCTCCTCTGCACCACACCTCCCCTAACCTCTCCCCTCTGCGGGCTGGTCATGAATCAAGCATACATCTCAGAGTAAAGGTAAAATAAATAAATAAATAAATAAAATCTAATTCATAGTGACATTATTTAAAATAAAGAGCTGTGCACCGCTTTTGCCCAGCTTTAGGAAAATGCCCATCCACTCACCTGGTCCACTGTTCTCACCTTGTAATCAAAGACACCCGAAAAAGCTGGCTGTCGTTGATTTGGAAACAAATTAAGATTTCATTTCGAACAAAGGAGTCGTTTTCAAAACAGTACATAGATTCTGATCCTTTTCTGTGAAAACTGTATCACATTCATGACAATACCTCTCTTCCAGGTAGAAAGGGAATTACTGTTTTATTTTTACCTTTACTTGTGTCTTTGAATTGCTTAATTTCCACATTTTTTTCACAGTACTTTTGAAATGAGAAAAATAATGAGAATTTAAAAATTTCAAAGTTCCCCTTTCCCCCTCTGGATAAGTTAATTTAATAAATCCTTCTTGCAAACACTTTTCTTAAATTTGGAAGCTGGACCCTGTCTGAGTTCAACTCATGTATTTACCACCGTGAAACAGTTTTGCTGACAGAGAGAGAGACTTTGGGTCATTTTTTTTTAGCAAATTATTACTGAATTATCTTTTTATGCAGCATAAAGACTTTATGATATTACATCAAGAAATAAATTCTCATTTATTAGGGCCCTGTGAACAATTTTTAGATCCTGCTGAAACACGTGTTTGTTTTTTGTTTTTCTATGCTTTCTTTGACCAAGTGATCAAAGTCTGTCAACCCCCTCTGCAGTTACTTTGAAAGCCAGCGGAATATTTTCCTGTTCTTCCAAATGTTGTTTACTAATTAATGTATCACTGAGAAGAAAAGCCAAAGTAGTTCACTCTAGGGTCGAGCCACATGGTTTGTTTTCGTTCTTCAGACTTAAAAGGGCGTTAAAATTTTCAGACTGAACACTTGAAATTTCACTAGCACTGGCTGATATCCAACAGGAAGTGCAGGAGGTGGTTGGGAAAATGGGCAACATCTGTTATTTTCTATGACACCCCCACCCTCCATAAAAAACAACCACAAACCAATGACAAAGACCAAGTCGGTGCTAGATGTTAATCAGGGTGGCGTCCAAATTCCAGTAGAATTTCCATAGCTCAGAAAGGCCTTTCTTGATGGGATCATGCCTCTTGCCTGGCACTTGGGCCCAGGTCCACAAACCTCCCACCATTTAGTAGCCCGAGTGCCTTACTTCTTGAGACCTCCCTAAGGGAGGCTGAGTGAGTAGGGTTCCTTAGTGTCTGCCTACTAAAACTAAAGTTCTGTGTCCTGCCTTCCCTTTCTCCAAGAGGATGGGATTTCTAGGCATTTCTAGGGACTGTGGTCAATTCCAAAAGGAGTTTTCCCATTGAACCCATGTGCATGAAAACCAAGTTAAACCCAGTTTGCTCCTTGTTGATGCCAGGCATCTCTCTTCCTAAGTGAGAGTGAGTTGTCTCTAAGGAGGAAGTCTTGGCCAGGCCTAACTTGCCTTAGATGCATCAGTGTGCGCCACAGCGCTCAGGAGATCACAACTCTGTGTATTCTCAGCTTGTTCAAAGGAGCGAAGAACATCCTGCAGACAGCTTCCCAGGACCAAGAAGGGAGTGCTTTGGGAACTATGTGGAGTCACTTTGCTGCAAAAATAACCCATCAGTACCACAAAAGGATTTCTTAAAAAGCAAAAAGCAGAGATGCCTTTTTTACTGCAAACCCACATTTGCTGTCATGTGATGTCATTGTGTTAAATGCATCCACTTGACTGTTTTTAGGCTAGTACAGTCTAGACAAAGACAAAGAAAGTCAGTTCCTATTTCCTGCGTCTTGTCATCTTTGAAAGCACGAGGAACTTTTAAAATAGAATGTTCTTGCTATCAACAGGGAACAAAGTCGCTTTTCTTTTCAAGGAAACCCATTTAGAAGGAGGAAATCTGAAAAGTTCCTTATCTATACATCAATCAAATCAGCATTTAATCACCAACCAGAGGTAGAGAGAGAATCCTCCGCTAGTTTCTCAGCATTAAAGGCTTGATGGACTCTTAATCAAGAGCTGCCAAGGCTTGGAAATCCTAGGGACCAGTTTCACCTCTGTGCAGGTGGCCAGCTATTTCTAGCATCATTGAGGGGATGATACAAGTTGGACACACACACATACACACACATGCACACACACACGAGGAGCAATTGGGGTAAAGTTGTCTTTGAAGTATAAGAATAAAGCATGGTGAAGCACAAAGAAGAGTCCCAGTCAAGCGAGCCCCCATTTTAAATATACAGGTAGAATCTTTATCCAAGGCCTTGGTGTTATTGATAACCAGACCATTTTAAAATGGGACATGGCTTACTATAGCCACTCCAAGGATAGAAATACAAGCCTGCCTCTGCGTCTTCTGTGTCTCTCTAACTTTCCCCTTCCCCTCTCTAGGGAGTATAACGAAGCTTCCAGAAAGTGTCCAGTTTTGCTCAGGCTTTCTGAACAGAATGAATAATGTGGCAGACAAATTCAAATATTGAATGTTTTATACCCAGTGTTGCTCAGGAGCTGTGTGGAGGCTTTTAAACACCTGAGTCAGCAGCTCACCCCCACTACTTAGTGCTACCACGAAAAACAGCCTCACTCCCACAGTAGGCTAGCAGCCCTAGAAGAAGGCACTTACCTCCGTCAGCATCTGTCTTCTCTCAGCCCAGGACCCCTCATCTGGCTAGCAGGAGGTCCCCTTCTGTGTTCTCTAGTTCTACTGAGGGTTTGAGGGCAGCGGTGCGTGAGAGCCCCAAGCATCTGTGGCTTTTAGGCCTTTGTGCTCTCCCCCTTTATGGAATCCAGAGTTTAAAAGTAAACAATTCTTTCTCTTTCTGATAAGTCACATTAAATTATCGATTGTGGGGGAAGAGAGGGCATGACCTTAGTCTGCTAAGTCAGAGTCACCTTTGGTCAAACACTAAGCAAAACTGAAGGTCCAGCTTCCCCATGCCCCCTCCGCTACGTGCTGTACACCATCTGCAGGTGGACAGCGAGGCCAAGGACTGAAGTGGGCAGCTGAACCTACTGGACATTTTCTCTCAGGACTCTGATCTAAACTTGTTCCAGTGTTTTCCTTACAGGAAGACCCCCAGTGTCACTTCAGACTTCTAGAACTGGAGACGTCGCCTGGTCGTATGAACCTGTGAAATTAAACACCCCAGCTCACCCTACTCAGGACTGATACTGGAGAGCCAATCTCATGTTCTGGGCCATTTGTGATGAGTGGGGATCTATCTATTCACTCGTTCACATGGCTGCCATTTATGAATCACTTCTGACAGCTGAGCTCCAGGAAGCCAAGGGGAGGGGAGGCAAGCCGAGCTGATCACCTGGGAGTCAGGACAGACACACAAGCAGCAACAGCCACTCCAGGCTCTAGGGTCCTGAATGCATTGGGTTGTCTCAGGATGGTTTTATTTTCTCTCTGGGCTATTTTGACAGGTTGCTTTCTTAAGCATTAAAAACAAAACAACAACACAAAGAAACCATTTTTATATTCTCCCTGGTAATCTAATGTGAAGGAACTCAGGACTTTCTTGAGAAAGATGGTGACCCAGCAGCCTCAAGTTGAGGGTCTTGTCATGCTGCCCCACATTTTCTTCTCTTAGGTAAAAGCCAAAGGCTGACAGTGTTGCCATTAAGTGGTCTCTAGGACCAAAGAATTGTGGGAGTTCATGGGTTTCAACTGCTGTTCCTTGCTTCCCTTGAGAGACTCAGTTCTTTCCCCAGTGTCCTTTGACTACCTGAGGTAATCCTGCATCCTTGACCCTTGGAAAAACCGAGTCTTTCTGTGTCTTCAGAGGGACTGAGAGACACATTCATAAGGTAAAAGCCCAAAGTGTACCCAGAGGAAAAACTACTTTAAAGGCCCTCTGGAAACCACTAAGGTCCAGCTTCCCACAGAAGATACAGCAGATATAGCCATCAGGTAATTTCTAAAGGCTGGATTGAGGGAGTAGCCTCGTGGGCCACCCCTGCCCATGGTGGCTTTTCCACCCGTGGTGGCTTTTGTCTTGCTTCTGTTGCTCACAACAACCATGTTTCTTTACAGAAGTACTGTGAGTTTTCTTCTTTTAAAGTGAAATGGGTGCCTCAGAGTTTGGCACGTGGAGGGCAGGACATCCTTCCCTCCACCAGGCCATCTCCGGCAGCTTCTCTCTGTCCATGTCCATGTTGGTCAGCTGGGATGTGGGGTGGGACACGTAACACAGTGGTAAACTGCTTGCCTAGTGTGGGCAAAGCACTGCCTGGGGTCAACGCTCCACCTCAGTGAAAAGACACTAAATAAATATCAAAAACAAAAATCATTCTTTCTATAAAAGCACGGTGAAGCAAATGCAGCTTTCAGGTAATTTTTCTTTAAACCTCAGAGACAAGATGCATCTTTTCCAAATTTCTTTGAGCGACCTTGAAAACCAACTTTTGTTAGTGAGAGCTAGCTCAGGGCTTGCAGGCTCTTGGTCAATGCCAGCTGGACTTATCCAAGTCCAGTGTCTGAAGTGTGTAGTGTCTCCAGCCATAGGATCTCACTTTCAGGCTCTGGAGGCCACCAAGGGCAACAGTAATAACCTAGATTATTTCAGAAGCCTCTTGAACTCCCTGACCAACAGCTGGAAGGGATGTTACACATGCCTGGCACCGGAGCTTTTGTTAGCAAGTCGAAGGCTCTTGGCAGCGATGGGGTGTGGGTGTGGGGAGGCATTATCACTCAAGTGGTATAACTTTATCTAAATATGCATATGTATAAAATATACTTATTTATATTTTATATATATTTTAAAAGAGCATAAAATCATTCTTTATAGCTTCTTCAAACATTCTTAGTGCTATTTACCCCTTGCTCCCCCCCATTGTCTGCACTGCCCTCCCAACCCAGGTCTAAGTGAAATCTCCCTTTTCCATTTCCCGCTTCATAGCATCTGTGTCCTCCTCCCCGCCCCATACCCCGCCAGCCCCCAGTTCCTTCTCCTCCCTTTACCATGGATTTTTTTCCTTTCCCGGTTTTGGTCATTATTCCAGGTCACATACTCACCTCTAAAATACTGGAGCTAAGATTCACAAATAAGAAAAAACACGTGGTGTTTGTCTTTCTGGGTCTGAACCTCCATGGAGAAAGACAATCAATAGTCCTACTCAGTTGTAAAGCCTACAGACAAATACAATGACCAGCATGGCAAGATATCCCCCAAAGGTGCAATGGTGGCATGTAGCTCAAAGGTATAAGCAATAGCTCTGTCATCAGACTTGAGACCAATCACCAGGAAGTAAGTCATGTCTGGTACTGAAAATGTAGCCATCTACCTATGTCTGCTGAGCCCACAAAGTCTAGAAGAGAACCTACTGTGGTCAGTTTCCTAAACCAGTGTCATTCCTAACTATGTTATAAACACCTACACTTATATCCACAGACAGGTGTAGCTCTCAGCTGTCCTCCAAGAAGGTTCTGTTTGTGGTAGACTTTGACCATTAGAGAAAGCCACAGCTAGTAAACATGCACAGAACAACTGATGGTGGAGTGCTCAGCCCCAACCAATTCATCTACAGTATCACCGTCATACCTAAGGCTCTGGTAATATTGAAGAAGACTGGGAAGACTGATGGATCCAGAGGACAATGATTCTTGCTGTGTCTTTGGAAGCTGCATCTGTAAAATCTCAAAACTATGCTTGTCTTGGAGAGAAGGATAGGGGAAGAAGTGTGTGTGTGTGTGTGTGTGTGTGTGTGTGTGTGTGTGTGTGTAAGGTTTGTATTCTGAACATCTGCTTCTTAGGAATCTGGGAGGAGTAGCTGCTGATCTTTGGTGGTGGTGGGTACTAGAAGCGTGACCTTTGATGAGGATGCTGAGAAGTATTGGGTTAATGTCAATTGAAAAGAGGAGGAAAGAAAAAAACTGAATGAAACCAGGAATCCTGATTAGATGCTAGTGGTGGTTGTTCTTGTTTGGGTTTGTTTTTCTGTTTGTTTTGGCTTTTTCAGAAAGAAGTCTTACTGTGTAGACCATGCTGACCTTGGACTCACTGAGATCTGCCTGCCTCTGCCTCCTAATTGCTGGAAGCAAAGGTATGTGCTGTTATACTCAGCTTAGATGCTAGACTGTTGTTACTGTTGTTGTTGTTATTGTTTTAAATTATAACTATAAAAGATATTTGGGGACAGTTGGGTAGTTTAAAAATGAGCTAAATATAAGACATTATTAGAGATTTTATTATTGACTAGCTCTGACAATGGGTCTCAGGACAGGTGGAATTTTGCTTTGGGGATGTATGTTAAAGGGGGGAAACGTCATAATGTCTACGCTTTGTTTTTAACTCTTTCCTAAGAACAGGCACTGCTCATACAAGCAATGACTACCCCCCACCCCGTGTGCATTTGGCCCCCACAGTCAGGTCTTGCCCACCCCCTACCCCAGGCTGTACCAGGTGCTTAGGCCTGTTTCTTTTAATAGCAGGAAGGCTCTGAGTGGGTCATGACTGCAGTGATGAACCAGAGCTTGCTGTCAACACTCAGTTTTTACCCAGGTCCTAGATTGTGACATCAGTTAGAAAGTGAGTGCCCTTAGTCATTAACCAGAGGCCTTGGCAAGTCAGCATTTTGTCGGTTCCTGCCTTAGCCTTCTCCCTGCACGTGCTAAGTTAGACAGCACTCTCTTTACTAGAGAGTAAACAACCCATGAGAACGTACAGCTCTTGACCTCTGTGATGTCTCTATACCCATGTTGGTTTTTCTCTGCTCTAAAGATCAGTATATCTTCTATGTCACCCAAGGATTCACAGCAAATAAAAAGCCAGGCCCCTTAGTTTTTCTAAGTTCAAAGTCAAAAATTCAAATGGTGAAAATCAGGCTTCCTATTTCCTAGACTTCACTGTCCCTCCAGGCAATAGCTGGGCATTCTTCACAGAGGCTGGTTATTTCTTTTCTCTTTTCCTTCTCTTTTCTGCAACCTCAAACATCAGGGATTTAGACATCTGAGCTGAACTGCAACCCTGAAGGACTTGGAGCTACCTTCTCTCAAAGAAACCATCTTGTTTATTTCTTTAAAAAATAAAAGCCAAAGGTTTAACCTTTAAAAAAAAAACTAGATGTTTTAACCTTTTTGAGAATTTCATAGACAGATACTGTATTTACATTATTTCTGCCTCTATCTCTTCCCCTCCAACTTGTCCCCCCACTCACTTTCAAATCCATGACTTCTTTTATTATATATATGCACATACATGCATATATACATACATTCATACATAGATGTATATGCAAATACAGCCTGCTGATCCCACTTAGTGTAGTTGTTCATACATGTATTTAAGGCTGATTATTTAGGATTGAATAACTTACCGGAGAGCTCATCCCCGAAGTAAACTGATGTCCCTTCTCTCTGCAGCCCTTAAGTTAATTGCCTGTGGCTCTTCATCTAGGGGTAGGGCCTTGTGAGAGTGCCTCACCTATGTTATCATGTCAACTGGTGCTATTGTTATACAAGTTATACAAGACCTTCTTCGGGGAGCATCTGTCCAGAAGAGAAATGACATATACATTAAAGGACAGCTCAGAAAAATGTGATGGTGTGATGAGAAAGTCACAGGTTACTGTAGTGCGTGGCACTGCAGGGGACAGAGAACAGAATCAGTAAATCAGGATCGCTGGGGAGACAGCCCAGTCAGTAGTGCCGTGATCTTACCAGCTAGATCTGGGAGTGTGCTTGAAATCCCAGCAC